GGTTACAATTTACACAAACCAGAATTTTTAGACAAAAAACTAAGATTTCACTCAACATCAACGTACTAGTGTGTCCAGACAATGACATGACTTCACTGTGTACAGAAATCCAACTTGCATACATTATGTGGTGACAACAAATAATCTTTACCAAAACCCTATCCCCTTCAATTTCAAATCAAAGTTCTTTGCAATATCTTGTTTTTATCAATTTCATTACTATAATTATTTGCTAGGAGATTACACCTTATGGCTGGCCCCTCTGCCCTCCCCACCCCTCCTTGCCCCCAGAGTACACTCTCTATAAGCACAGTCCCTTGTGTACATAAATACACTATAACTATTCCTCTAATTGATGACCTCTATAAAAAGAGGAAGTCATCTTCAGTCCAGCCTCCAAGACAAAGGACCTTACTGTTATGTCAGGTCGAGGTGGGATAATAATGTTGACCAATGCATGCCCTGTTCGAATTCTGATGACCCTTGGTCAGGCAAACTGGACATGCGATGTCAACTCATTAGCATGTGACTGTAAATGCTGTACATGCATTAGGTGGGTGTAATCCCTATAATTATCCTGTCCACCTGCACAAAGCAGTGGTCAAGCAAGTCACTAAAACACAAAGAAGTATGGTATGCTTGATGATAGCACAGGAAATCAGAATGCAGTGGGTTTTTTTTTCCCCAAATATATCTACAAATTATTTTCATATCTGATGTCAACTACTTTGATCAGATAGCTTGCAAGGATTTGTAAATAACATTTAAATACATGCTTAAATGACATTTTCAAAGACAATATCACCCCAGAAAATGAGCTAAGAAGTCAGATATTAAGAATTGTCAGGACCGATGACCAGTTTCCCTGTCAGAACAGACTTGGACATAATCCCCATCAGATAGGCATCTAATGATGGCATTTTAGTCCAATGATGTAGGACACTATCAAAATCAGGGAGAAAATCTTTTTTTATCAGGAAATATTTCCATGATAAGACCAAATAAGAAAAAAAAAACATTTCTTGTTTCTGAACTTTTCCTGTTAAGAAAGTGTTTCTTGATATTTCTAAGAGAATCACTCTACCAAAAAGATGCTATCAACCATAACCAAGTAAAAAACACGATAGAGTGTGAAGTTGTACACAAGTAGCATACTTCTGAATAAAAACGTCATACGGATTAAGATCAGGATTATAAATATTTAAACTTTGTTTATTTTACAAAACATGCTATCAGCTTATATTAATTATTCTTGTTGGCTCACATGGAAACTTGCAAGGGGTCTTGCTGATGGATGAAACCATAGTAACACAGGAAAAGACACTTGGTTAGGCAGATGACCCCATACCTTTTCATGATGTCTATGTGAAATTTGAGTGTGCTACCATACTCAAAATCCTTAATTTACTTAAGCATTAAGCATAGTTTGAAAGCTAGCATATATGCTTAACAGCTATTACTCAAAACAACTGTAAAATTGAAAGGTAGCATAAAGCCTTAACTCATTTCAAACAGTTGTGCCTATTGTATTTTACCTAACTGAGAGTCGGCACGATGAAAAAGAATTGCATATAAAAAACATCAGAATTGAAATGTAAAATGTATGTCTTTCCATTGAAACAGTTGTATTACAGTGTCTTCGGGCTGTACCCAGTGGTAACCAACTGCTGCTGTATGTCACCGGGCTAGGCAGTGGCATATCAGAATGTTCAAACCTATCCTGTTATTGGTTATGCGTGTGCCAGGTCAACATTAACATTCGTGTCTTGTCCTCAATTTATGCACTAGCATGGGCCAACAGTTCTGGCGCATATTACTTCACTTTCAAGTGACTATCACTTGATTTCAAGTTACTGTAGTTTGTTGGGGTTAAACTACCAACAGTGCTGGCTTTATCTTGCACCTGTATAACTAAAGATTGATGGAATAGTTCCAAATCATCTATCACTTCATTTCTTTTTTATACAGAAACATGAATGTTGAGGTTTGAGTTTTATACTTGGTGAAGATGGAGATGGTCCAAACTGGTTCATTGTTCATCCAAATCTCTCTCTTAATGAATCATGGTACATGTGATAAAGGTAGTCCAAATATTTAAACAGAAATAGTAATAGGAAACTGACATTCATGATGTAACAATATACAGACTAAAATATTGGGGACTTTCTGGGGATTCGATATAACAGACAGGGGGGGGGGATATGGATGGGCTTATTACCAGACATTGACTTATTACTGGAGAAATACATTAAGTTCTAATCGACTGTTTAATTCCTAAAAATAAATTCCTTTTTAAACTCATCACCTACATGAAGATCAATGCACAGTTTCATTGATGCTCACACCCTTCAGAAGTCATGCTTACTTTCCGTAAGCTATAAAATTCCAAATGTTGTTTTCATTTCCAGATGTTAGATAAAGCAAAAGTGTCCACCTAGACAAGTTTCAAATACTTTTTCATTTTTTTTGATCCGCTGTAAGCATACCAAATCTCTAGACATATTTCATGGGATTTTTACTAGATGTAATTCTATAGCTATAACATACATGATACAGAAAGAAACCTCATATTTCACACTAATTTCCCATTCTGCGACATATAGATACTGTATCCACAAGCCAGCATTACAACATTCAATACCCACTTGTAAATACACCAACAGATTTATGGCATAACCGCACCTTGAAAAGATGAAAAAAATTGTTTCTGCCCCACAAAATATTATCGCTGCTCCACATGGTTTCAAGTGGAAAGGAAAAACATCAAGTATTTCTCCCATAGACAATATAATACACTCTTGTGCCCCTCTCACTTAAACCAGCCAGAAAACTAAAGCCAAACATATATATCAAATCTAACACATCCAGTCTAATCACTTCGGACTTCATCAGTACCAAATGTTCATGATGGCTAACTTTGAAGTTTCAAAATTTAAACACACATGCCGAGAAAGAACAAAAAATTTAAAGATAAACAAAATGGTGAGCATTCTACCTATAAACTTCAAAATCATCACCCTTCATCAATCAAATCAACAAAGCAAAACTTTCTTTAAAATAAACTCTTAAAAAACAGATCGTGTCGCTCAAAATTCTTTGAGTATTGATATATGTGAGGATCAGTTCTTGAAATTCCCTAAAGATTTTTGGATTTTCTTATCACTAGCTTTTTGCATTAATTTATCTCTATAATTGAGTTCTAAATCTAAGTACTCCTACTTAGAGGAAAGCTTCTTAAATCTTTTTAGTATCGGAGTTTTCCTCATCATCTGAATTTTCTGGTGATATTTGCTTAAAAAAGTTTTTTTACCTTGAAATACATGGTGCAAATAAATAAAACTATCAGACATTAAAAACTTACCATCACATTCAAATATACAGCGTTTAAAAGATACAGAATTATGTTGATAATTTTCATAATTCTGAGGTCAAAATTTTCTACATGAATTAAAGAATTTCTGGTTCAGAAAACAGTTACTACAGCCTACTCAGAAACTACCGAGGTTTTGAAATAAATATGATGACGTCTGTTGACAATAAAGGGATTCACACAACTGAACCCTGACTATCTCATTCCGGTTTTGTTTGATGGATGTGATTTTAAATATTCTAAGAGAACAATCAATATTTGAACAATAATTTAACTTTCTGTAGCCACACATAATTATGTTAAAATTCAAAGACTTTAAACAAACTGTAGAAAAACATTGTAGACAATTTTGTTGGGAATTATTCTGGTAATGATACTACATTAAAATTTGACAGTCAAGCACCAGTGACTTTGAAACATAATTCAAACCAATTTGCATCAAGTGCATCAGGCATGTCCTACAGATGTGCTGTAAAGTATTCTAACTCGTTACAACTTGAACTGAACAGCTATAAAAATATTACAAATGACATCGCACACGCTAAATGCATTTCAGAGATCTCGGCCAAGCAGAAAATCATCTACCAAAAGTAAGTCATCTATAGGAGATAGTCACTGTAAAACCCAGAATCTGTCTGCAGCCTATTTCTTGGACAATAAAGTTTGCATGCCTACAAAATCTGCTATGATTTTTCATTTGCTTTCCATCAAATAAACACACTTTTGGCAAGTGATTTTATGAGAGTTTAACTCCCTTTAGACGATAAGTTTACATGTAATGCCTGTTTGAGAAACCAGACTACTTTGATCAGGAATTGTGCTGTATCTTACAAATGCCCATCCTTACTGACACTTTTTTTCGAACAATTTGTCACAAGGTAAGTAAATAAAAATTATGATGCACCAAAACAGCAAGGACCTTTTTGTTTGTCTTACATAGCAATGCAATTTTAACTACAATTTGTGCTCTCAAATAATTTCACACATCTTTGTGAATATTCACTTCAACACATTCATGTTTTTAATACCTGAAACTAAACAGACTTTCTTCCGCTGGGATAAATGCATCTTTTTAAACCTTCAAATATGTCCTCAATTCCTTCCCAAACTACAACACAAGTTTCCCTATGCTTATTGCCTAAAAAGGTTATCAAGAATATTGGACTGTCCAATGTAAACACTAAACTGTACTTATAGTCATATTTTCTTTATAATTAATGTCCCTCTCAGTCAAATGACAGACTACAAGTAATAAAAATCACTTAAATATTCAATAACATAGAAATGTCCACAATCTTGATAAGGAACATTTTAGAATCAATCATCATCTTTGTCCCCCATTACTTGAAATCACCGTCATTTTACCTTCCACTAAATAGAATCAAAGCTAAGAAAAGTGTAAATCATTATAAAAAACCTTAATGTCAACATTTTGTCATTTAGTTGCCTGTGACTTCGTCCACAGTCAAAGTCAAAGGCAAAATTAAAATCTCAAAAATTTTCTAATGCACAAAGTTTTTCATACCTTTTCCTGAAGTTTTCAAAATAAATACCATTTAATTTGAATTTTAAAGAAAAAAAGAAAATGTGAAAATTGAGAAAAAATGAATGAAGAGAAATGGCTTCTTACCTTTAATAATTGCTGAGATTTTTGTAAGGAAATTATGTGTAAAGTTGACTTGTAATCCGAAGGCTCCTCATTTTGTAAAACACAGGCATATCATTCACACCTGAGAAATCTACCTGTAATCCCGTTTGGTCACACGGCTAATACTCCTACCTGTCTGTTTTAACTCTGTGCAGTCCTACCTCTGCTCTGTTCCCTGTTCTCCACGCACACAGAGGAGAGCTCACACATCACATGACCAACACACTGTCTCCTAGCTGTAGTTGGGGTACATAACACATCAATGACAGGGGGGTCTAACAACTTCTGACAGCTCTGCTGGTTCAGGCGGCAGGTTACTGGTGTTAGAGCTGCAGTGAAAGTACACATATAGGCTTCTCAATAACAGTATACAGCATTTACATACCCTTCTTGCTGTCTCTGATACAAAACCTAATATCACTGGTCCTAATCTCACTCACAACCAACAAGATATGTAGACCGATGTCATCTCGCTCACTAAAATACAAAATACGCTTTCATTGCTAATTTCAATGGACAAACTTTGGCTGTCATTCAAAATGTATATTACCATTGCAGCTATCACAGAAATGGACAATATGAAGATGCACTCACTCAAGAAAAGCATGGTTAGCTTTGTGTTAATTAAACAGCAAAAAATAATAAAACCTGTAATATTTTAAATACATTTTTGTAAAATATATGTATATTACAGTTTGAACAAAAGCTGACAAACAGGAACTTGCAAAAGTCTTTTGAGGAAGCAGAAAGTAAGCTAACAAGGCGTTGTATAATTGTTCTGAGGGTATAATAATACCACTTAAATTAAGGCATAAAACTATTCTATACTAGTGGTGAGTCAAAAGAAATTTTGTATTTCAAAGTTGTTTATTCCATATTGCTTTTTAAAAATGTTTACAGGTTAAAAATTTAAATAACACAAGGATTTATGTGTCTATTTAACACTGTCAGCACAGTACACACGCAGATTTCAAATGTTATCTGTGAAGATTATACAAAGAAAACAAAAAGTTGTAATACACAGGTGGTCCTTCTAGAAAGATTTCACAAAACATAGCCCGATACATTTGTTTTTCTAGTTATGTAAACACTATATTAAGCATGTGATGTATTTGATAGTGTTGTGAAATGTAAGAGTCAACTATTGAGGTACTTGTTTGGGGCAGGGATCTTCTAGCCTATCTTATCACAGAGACATTTATGAGATGTAGTCATATATAATATATTAGGCAATCAGATAACTCAGTATAAACAAGTTTTTTTAGGGAGTTGCTAAGTAGGAGGTCTCTTTTCTCCCCTTACATAAAAATACAGTTTTACAACCTAGGTATCTCACTAATGACAATCCCAGACTTGTTAATTCTTTAAAGAGTTCCTGTCAATCCCAGGAAACACCAACCTAGATTTTGGTGAAGCTCTTAAAACTTTAACAGAGAATCAATATCTCCATTGTCTGGTTTGCTGTCCTTACTTTTTATAAACATAGATAGACTTCATCCATATATTTCTTTTATTGAGATAAATCTTCTAACACAATTTTTTTTTTTCAAAGAACTTCCATCTTACATTTGTTTGATTTACAAGGAAAACTTGACAAACATCATGAAAACAAGGTTCTTTTATTATAAGTTACAAAGATGCTTTTATTATGAACAACTGTGATTCATGGTCTTACTTACAAAAAGATAAGTTTCTTTTCATATGGTCAGTGTCTTTAATAGAACTTTCTTTTATTGACAAGTGTCTTTTCTAGCTTTTGACAAGTTTCTTTTATAAACAAGTATCCTTTATAGACAAGTTTCCTTTTATAGACAAATTCCCTTTTATAGACAAGTTCCCTTTAAAACAAGTTTCCCTTATAGACAAGTTTTCTTTATAACCAAATCTTTCTTTTAAAAACAACTTTCCTTCATTTCTAAGTTTCCTTTTATAGACAAGTTTCTTTAAATGCAAGTTTTCTTAATATAATGACAAATTTTTTCTGGGACAAGTTGCCTTTAAGGAAGAGTTTCTTTTTATAGACAAGTTTTCTTTTACTGACAAGCATCATCTTTAGAATGGTTCTTTAAATAAGATTTTGTTGTAGATTAATAATTTACAGTTTGCTTTAAAGACGTCTTTCCCCTTTATCCATACTACAATGACATTTTGATAAAACCTCTGTATTCTGGACTTTCTGGGATTTGTATTTTATAGGTATAATACTGATTCTCCATTTCAATATAAAACTTGTCTAATATAAAAAAAATTGATTTATTATAGCTCACGATTAAAGTAATGTGGACAGATTCGTGTGTAAAGACAAATTTCAGAGATGAAATAGAAAAGACCCACAGGAAACAAGGAGCCCGAGACTAACCTTGTTATCAATGTTGAAGGGCTACTAAACATGTATATATTCACAAACAAATCAAAATAAACCCCATGGCTGACTTATAAATTGACTTTTCACTGAAGATGGCTCCAACATGTCCTCCTTAGAAACCCCCATAGTAACGAGACAGACAGGGAGGATGTATCAAATTAAATTTATCTTAAAACTAAATTAAGGCCATCTTAGATATAGATAAACATTTGTGTGAAAAACTTAAAGATGACTTTCCTCTGGTGACCAACTCAATACACCAGGTCATTTGTGATCTTCAAAGCGATTAGAAGACCAATTGGGGAAAAAAAATTGAAATAGTTGTCCAGTTTACTAGACCTTCCCACAGATGGCAGTACAGGTTAATTCAAAGCTGCGGGCATGTGCCAAAATTTCTGAAACTAACCAGAAGCTGAAAAGGCTACAGAGGATGAAAGAGAGTAGTGTTCAGCTGGTGATTGCAGTCACTAGCTAATTTGGTTTCATTTTTCATCACAGTAATCAGAACAGTGATGTGTTTACATGGCAAGCTATGATTTTTCCAACACTGCGAGTCTCTAGCTGGGACACACAACAGCCAGTGTTGAACCACTCCAAACCCTGCCCAGTTCCTCTTATGAAGAGTAGTCTGCACTGAGGACCAGAGGAGAAAAAATCATTACTTATCTCGAGAGGAGGACATTATTAAGATATTTGATAAATATTACATTGATGAAAATTGATATGAAAGCTATAAGTAATCACAGCCGCATGTTGAATGTAGTGTAATGTATGACTTCATTCTAACATGCTATACAGCAATACAAGATGATATATATACATGATAATTCTATGAAAAATGCAACATCATAATCCCTCATAATTTGTTATGTATAATACGATGCATGAAATATTGACGAGAGGAAGAATTGAATTTCATGACAGCTTTTATCCAGTCTGATATGTATTTGTATTGCCTCATGGTAAAGCTGTAATGTATTCCAAGCTCACTTACAAAATCCATTACCGTCTACTCAAATAACTGCTAACATGTTATATTAATGACGAGGGTATCAGATTCAACATGCTGCTGTTAACATTAACATTGAGATCCAGTTCCCCAACCCCTAAACCTAAGATTTCATCCTACCCCATCTCCTCAAATCTAGCTCAGATTCAACCTACCACCAAGCTCAGGTCTCATCTCCCACCAACCTCATGTCTCACCTCCTGCCAACCTCATGTCTCACCTTCCACCAACCTCATGTCTCACCTCCCACCAACCTCAGATCTCATCTCCCACCAATCTCAGATCTCATCTCCCACCAACCTCATGTCTCACCTCCTACCAATCTCATGTCTCACCTCCCACCAACCTCATGTCTCACCTACTGCCAAGCTCAGATCTCATCTCCCACCAACCTCATGTCTCACCTTCCACCAACCTCAGATCCCATCCTACCCCCTCCTCTCAAATCTAGCTCAGATCTCATCACCTACCAAGCTCATGTCTCACCTCCTACCAATCTCATGTCTCACCTCCCACCAACCTCATGTCTCACCTCCCAACAACCTCAGATCTCCCCTCCCACCAACCTCATGTCTCAACTCCCACCAACCTCATGTCTCACCTCCCAACAACCTCAGATCTCCCCTCCCACCAACCTCATGTCTCAACTCCCACCAACCTCATGTCTCAACTCCCACCTACCTCAGATCTCATCCTACCCGATCTCCTCAAATCCAGCTCAGATCTCACCTCCTACCAACCTCATGTCTCACCTCCTACCAACCTCATGTTACACCTCCCACCAACCTCAGATTTCACCTCCCACCAATCTCAGATCTCACCTCCCACCAACCTCATGTCTCACCTCCCACCAACCTCAGATCTCACCTCCCAACAACCTCAGATTTCATCTCCCACCAACCTCATGTCTCACCTCCTACCAATCTCAGATCTCATCCTAACCCCTCCTCTCAAATCTAGCTCAGATCCAACCTCTGGCCAAGCTCAGATTTCATCTCCCACCAACCTCATGTCTCACCTCCCACAAACCTCAGATTTCATCCTAAGCCCTCTCCTCATATCTAGCTCAGATCCAACCTCCCACCAACCTCAGATTTCACCTCCCACCAACCTCAGATCTCAGCTCCCACCAACCTAATGTCTCACCTCCCACCAACCTCATGTCTCACCTACCACCAACCTCAGATTTCATCCTATGCCCTCTCCTCATATCTAGCTCAGATCCAACCTCCCCCAAGCTCAGATCTCACCTCCTGCCAACCTCAGATCTCATCTCCCCCTCTCCAAGTCTTCAGACTTCATCTCTCCTCTTACATCATTCACAAAAAATAAATATTCCATTATGAAAACAATTTCTATCAAATTAACAAATGTGATAATATTCCAAACATCATCTTCAATGAGTTAGCTAAAACATGTACACTATTATCATTTCCATGGAAAAGAAAATACTAAGATTGAGTCATTATGGAATGGAATGTGATAAGGCACATACATGTTTAATGAGCAATAGATGTCATTACATTGCTTCATTATCATCTCCATTACGGTGAAGAGTTTGGTTAACTCAGATGGGAGAGGGATATACACTAGACAAATTGACGCCTGATTCATATATGGATCATGTCCTACCTTTGTGTGACCCTGGACATGTACCTGACCAGTCATGATCCTACATAAAATTATACTTAAATGGTAGAAAATTTGTGAAATTTTATAGAATTTGTGAGACAATGAGATCATACAAGTCTGCGTTATCAATGATCAATGTAATTTCAGGTCTAAGTCTGGTATATTTAGGGAGTGGCTTGATTGAAGAAAGCTCCAACTAAGTACATAAAATAGAAAATTTACTTCAATGGCCACGGAGTTTACTAAATGCAGAAATAAAAAAAATTGATTTTATATATATATCAAATTAGTGGTGTCTAATAATTCTACTGGTTTGATATGACATTGACCATTGTCATCAATCTCTGAAGTCATAGCCCTTCAAAGTCAATGGTAACAGGGTACTTAAAAGGGTCATCAAGGAGAATTACCTTGTAATCAATTCTTATATACATATTGGTCTGTATGTTTTTACTTGATGTTCTATGTTATGTTTAAACATTATCTTAATGATATTTGGTGCAAAAGTTTAATTTAAAATAAAAATAAGGTAGTTTTAACAATTTTTCAAGATTAAAGCATTTCATACTAAGACCAATATTGGGTTGACCTGACAAGACCATGTGAGTAAACGACAACACTGCCCTGACGTGGGAGCAGGATTCTTTATCTTGTATGACATAGCAAAACACATCTGTGAGAAAACAGACAAAAACTGAAAATGAGTCTAGAACAGCATTTTTCCAATATCGAGTCATGTTATGATATATAATCAGTTAACAGTCTTGTAATGGCATTTATGACTGTAATAAATGTCAGGGTTTTGCAGTTGAACATATTGCACATTTATATCTATACATTCCTTATGGTATTCTCCTGCTGATGATACATCAATCTAATTAAAATAAGTTAGTCAATGCCCAAAGTGTTATTTTGAAAGTAAGTTAGTCAATTCCCATAGTGTTATTTTGAAAATAAGTTAGTCAATGCACATAGTGTTATTTTGAAAGTAAGTTAGTCAATTCCCATAGTGTTATTTTGAAAGTAAGTTAGTCAATTCCCATAGTGTTATTTTGAAAGTAAGTTAGTCAATTCCCATAGTGTTATTTTGAAAGTAAGTTAGTCAATTCCCATAGTGTTATTTTGAAAATAAGTTAGTCAATGCCCATAGTGTTATTTTGAAAGTAAGTTAGTCAATTCCCATAGTGTTATTTTGAAAATAAGTTAGTCAATGCCCATAGTGTTATTTTGAAAGTAAGTTAGTCAATTCCCATAGTGTTATTTTGAAAGTAAGTTAGTCAATTCCCATAGTGTTATTTTGAAAATAAGTTAGTCAATGCCCATAGTGTTATTTTGAAAGTAAGTTAGTCAATTCCCAGAGTGTTATTTTGAAAATAAGTTAGTCAAATCCCATAGTGTTATTTTGAAAATAAGTTAGTCAATTCCCAGAGTGTTATTTTGAAAATAAGTTAGTCAATGCTCATAGTGTTATTTTGAAAATAAGTTAGTCAATTCCCATAGTGTTATTTTGAAAATAAGTTAGTCAATTCCCAGAGTGTTATTTTGAAAATAAGTTAGTCAATTCCCATAGTGTTATTTTGAAAATAAGTTAGTCAATGCTCATAGTGTTATTTTGAAAATAAGTTAGTCAATTCCCAGAGTGTTATTTTGAAAATAAGTTAGTCAATTCCCATAGTGTTATTTTGAAAATAAGTTAGTCAATTCCCAGAGTGTTATTTTGAAAATAAGTTAGTCAATGCTCATAGTGTTATTTTGAAAATAAGTTAGTCAATTCCCATAGTGTTATTTTGAAAATAAGTTAGTCAATGCCCATAGTGTTATTTTGAAAGTAAGTTAGTCAATTCCCGTAGTGTTATTTTGAAAATAAGTTAGTCAATGCCAATAGCGTTATTTTGAAAATAAGTTAGTCAATGCCCATAGTGTTATTTTGAAAATAAGTTAGTCAATGCTCATAGTGTTATAAGTCAAGTGAAGAAGGCATTCTGATCGTGTACCATCACTATTAATGACAATGACATCACACTAGCCATACTTTGAATATCATACAAGTACTTATATAAATCTGACCTATTTCTTGTTAATTTATATCATGGTGTTGCCATGCATTTATATATGAATATTCATTGATGATATCTCAATAGTATTTGTGTATAACATGACAGAAATTGTTCACAAAATGATATGTACCCAAAAGCATATGATCCCAATATGAAAAAAATATAGTGGTACATCACAGACGTATGACATAAATGATGTGTTTGGGATTGGTTGGTACTATGAAAGCTTAGACAGCAGTGAGTTGGCCTGCAATGTCAGTGACCTCAGGCAGCTTGATGCTCCCTACCCACATTAGTTTGCTTCTCAGGAAGATGAGAAATGGACCTGTCTGTGATGACATCATTGTGTCCTTGGGCATGACAACTTACCTTAGTTTGCTCTGAATGAAATGGGATGGGCCTCCTGAACGTTGTTCAGTGAGGTTGCCACCAGTTACTACAAGGACACTCCACCTCAAACAGGTTGACGTAATTGATACTATTATTATTGTGGTAATAATGATAATTTAAATATTCATGTAATCCTCTCATCTTTTAATCAAATACTTTTTAAAAATACCTGTATATTAAAATATCAATAAATGTGATATATTCAGATTGTAATGGTAAAGATCACATCAAACAGTTAACTCTATTTGTACATATGTTGAAATATGTAAACAGAAAAGAAGAAACACATAAACTGTTTTTAAACTTTTTAATGGGCTCCACTTTCAAACTGGCAAGTCTTTGCCAGCCTAGGGGAGATCCATGTGTGAAACAGACATCAATATTTATATGAAGTATGACTAGCCATGAGGTAGCCATAGATTTCCTCGGCTTTGGTATTACCTGTTTAATCATCAGTCTCAATGATCAGATTTCCTGTTGTAAATATTAATAACTCTAGAAATATCCAGAAATAGACCTGTGTTGCCATATTGTCGTGAAACTATCAGGAAATTTTGACTTCTGTATTTTAGATCTATTTCATTATAATACATAACAACACAACACAAATGATGCATGCAGATAACAAATATTAATACCGTAATAGATATTTGTGAAGAGAAGTGGCCATGTAGGGGATCTAAATTTAATACAGCCACATGTACAGAATGAACAAGTAACTTGTTACACTAGCGCTCTGGGTTGACAACTTCTTTACATTTAGAAATTCTTAACTTCCAACTTTCAAAAAATCATCCTGTATACGGGACACTGGAGCATTGCAATGTGGATGTATGTAGGGATATTTGACAATGTATTATATACTAACATTTGAGTAAAATGAAGAGATAGAAAAAAAATGCAATAGAGATTAAATGCTAATATTGTAGAAAGAGAAAGTAGGCCAAATAGGTCTAAATGTTTAGGACTGCCGTGATATCAATCCGATCCTCTCACTCTAGACTTTACATTGGATCAAGTGTAATGAAAATCCGAGCCAAAAAGGAGTTGTTTCTCAGCAGGGTAGAATTTCCTATAAACCCACCAACCTGTATATAATATAAAGTTTTCTAGTATTTATAGGTATGTAATTCAAGTTTGTAAGATGTGAATGATCGATGATAAATACAGAACATGAAAATGACCATCATAACAAATTATGGCCGCAAGAGTAAATCTCAGTGACAGTTGTCCAGAACCAGACAGAAGAACGGGCTAACAATGGTCTACCCATCCCCTCCACAACATGATATATCAATACCGTCTAATTATTTCCCTGTCCAGTCGATTTCAAATTTTCTTGTTTAACTAGGTGATAAAAATTCAATTGGTGATGACCTGGGGCTACAGCTGAACTAGTTATCCTGGTGGTATAAACAGCAGAGGTGCGGAGAGGAAATCTGTAATGAACGGCTCATATTTCCAAATCATTGAATCAATCTAAAATAATTGTCTCCGTTTCCTAATTTGGGTAATTTTTGGGAACTAGATCTGATCTAGGCTTTTGTGGTGAAGAGATGGCCGGACCTACCTATCGGTGAAGCGAAAACATTGAAGTGGCAGTCGCAAAATTGGAAGTAATGTTATATTACTCGAATCAAGGAAATACAGACTTGTGTTAGGGACCTTAAAGTTATTTGCCCTTTGGAGATATTCCAGCCTCTTAGCTAGAAAGACATTGTTGATGATACAGAGAAATCATTGTCCTATGAATGAACCCACCACCACAAATACAAAAAATTGAAATTTCTGATCTGCCAAATCTAATCATTTAACAAAACGCCTCCTCTTTGCCTACTCCAGATGGGATTCAGATACTGAAA